ATTTCAGGGGAGCCGCTGTCAGGCGCCGAGGTGCGGGACATCTGCCGCGGCCTGCGCGACAACGCCGTGCGCCTGCTCTCCCTGCGCGGCTGCCGCCTCTGCGACCGCGACTTCGGCCGCATCTGCCGGGCCCTGGCCGGGGCCACGTCCCTGGCGCAGCTCAACCTTAACCTGGGCGTCGTGTCCAGCCCCAGCCGCATCAAGCAGCTGGCGGAGGCGCTGCGGACCAACCGCTCCATCCAGTCCCTCTTGTGAGTGCGCTCCCTCCGCAAGGGGGTCCCAGGCGCTGCACCCCTCCTTGCACTCCTCTGCCACCTCCTCTTCCTCCACACACTTTCCTGTACCTCTTTCCACCATCCACCCTTCTTTCCCGTTACACATACCCCTCATCTCTCTGCCCACCCTTCTACAATACCCTCCAAGCACATCCCTTCTCTCCAGACTTTGCACACGCAGCCCCACCCCAAAGGAGACGGGATACCCACATCTTCCTGGCGGGGCACGTGTACCTCCCTCCTAATCACCCTCATGGACTTCTGGGGGCAATCTTCAGTTCCCAGGAAGGAACACTTCCCTGGGGACTAGACTCCCCCTGCCCCTACATTCTACCTACTGAGGAGTCCTAATCCACTACCCACCCTCTTTTCTGTGCTCTGTCCTGGGTCCCAGTCTCTATCCCAGAAAAGAAACCGAATTCTACTGCTATCTGTATTCCTTAGGATCTAGAATTTTCTTTCTCCCTTCCCAAGGCTTCTCCCCAGTGCTGTGACGGAGTGCCCTCCTCACCTCTAGAGCTTACCTAAGGGAAGGTTGAGTTGATGATTGCAGTAACCCCTTCCCCCTCCAGATAGAGTTGATGATTGAGATAACCTCTGCTCTCTGGTCTCACCCCACCCCCAGCCTACATGGGAGTCCCCTGACAGATGCAGGGCTGGCCTTGCTGAACCCAGCCTTGGCCCTCCACCCTGCCCTTGTGGCTCTGGACCTGGGGGACTGCATGCTGGGTGATGAAGCCATCAACCTCATCTGTGGCCTCCTCCCGCCAGACGGGGCCAAGTCTGGTGAGCAGGGCCCTGCCGAGGGCATGGGGCTGGTGTAGCCTTGATGAAAAGCTAAGTGCAGAGGGCAGGGGTGTGGCCCAGAGCTGAGGGCTCTGACAATATGGGAGAGAATGTTTTTCCTAAATCCTCTCAGAAAAGATTAGGGGCTGAGCAGGGTGGAGAGTCTGGAATCTAGGTTCCAGTGGGCAGTGAATGCATGGGTCTCTCTGGAGTTTGGGGGGGGGTGGTTAGTGGCTCCCAGCCACTAGGGACACCCCAAAGACCTAGGGCAGGGTAGGGGCTTAAGGAGGACCTGACCTTCTTCATCCTGGCTTCTCCTTACAATGTTGCCCAGGCTTGAAGGAGCTAACGCTGAGTGCCAACCCTGGCATCACCCCTAAGGGCTGGAGCCGCCTTGCCATTGCTGTGGCCCACAGCTCCCAGGTCCGCGTCCTCAATCTGGACTACAATCCCCTCGGTGAGGCTGAAGAAAACCCCTTTAGATTCTCACCACTCCATCCCCATCCAAGAACTTGGGACCATCAGTTGGCATGGTAACCCCCACACTGGGGAAAGGAAACATGGAGGGGAGGGGTCTGGGAGGTAGTAGAGGAGCCACCTGTTTGTAAGACCAGATGACCAACAGGTAGATCAAAGCATCCATCACCACCCAGGACTTGGCTTGCTTCATGCATTCACTCACCAATCACAGTGCTCTCCCCCTGGCCACTTACCAATTGTATTTCCTGGCCTGGGGGTGGGATCTAAGATTGTTAAGGCAATAGGGAGGCTGTAGGGGAGGAAGGGTTAGCAGGCCTGTGCATAAACTCAGGTGTGTGTGTGTGAACGCTCTCTCCTCAGGTGACCATGTGGCAGGAATGTTGGCTGTAGCTGTGGCCTCCAGCCGTACCTTAGAAGTCCTAGACTTGGAGGGCACAGGACTCACCAACCAGTCAGCTCAGGTAAGACATATTCATGTTTGGGGAAGGCCAAGGGTTGGGATAGAAGTTAGCCAGAGTGTCTGTGTACATACCAAAGGGGTGGCAGGTTGGATTCGTAGCCACCTTAAATGTGTTTATCCTTTTCCATATTCTTCTCTACCCTAGACCCTGCTGGACATGGTAGAAAATTACCCCACAGCTTTGCGGAGCCTGGTGTTGGCTGAGAACAGCATTAGTCCAGAGCTGCAGCAGCAGATCTGTGACCTCCTTTCTGAGGGAGAGGAGGAAGAAGAGGTGGCAGGAGGGGCTGGTGACACCCAGGAACGAGAGAAGGGACGGGAGCCTGCTGCCCACCAGAGGGGCAGCAACTCCTGGATGTGCCCCAGTGGTAAGAGACCTGTGGGTTAATTGGAGCTAGTTCTGAAGAGGCTTGGGAGCTGAGAGAGTGGGTATGGGAAAACCTAGTCCACTTCTCTATTTGTGGTCCCCAGTGGAAGAACGAATGGTGCTCTGAACGCCCCTCTGCCTTTCCACAGATCCCAGCTCTCAGATGGTGCTAATGACGTCGGGACTAGGAGACAGTCTGTTGGCTGAGACCGAGATGTGACTCTCCACTTTGGCTTCTGTACATCATTACACTTGTCTATGTCCCCAGCACCTTGCTCCAGATATCAGGATCAGGCCCTGGGGCTTGGGAGGGAGAGGGTTGCATGGGGCTCTGGCAGCTCCTGGTAGTGTGGTGGGAGGCTCTGGTAGATGTAATGAACAATAGCCTTGGGGGCATTTGAACCCAAGCAATAGTTCTGGACTTGGCAGCTCTGGCTGCAGCCCGCTGGCTCGGAAGAGATTTTATGAACTCTACAACCTGGCGTGTGTCTGTGGTCACTGGGGCTGGCAGTAGGGGAGAAACTGGGACTACCATTAGGCACCATTAGGGGGCAGTGCCATCCCACACCCAAGCATCTTCTGGCCCCAAACGTCTCAAACAGGTCTGGCTTGCAGGCCTTGGACTTCTCAGACCTGGAGTTCCTAAGGTGACACCTTACAGAGGCTCCATAAGGATATAACTAAGGTAAAGAGCCTGCCTCCAGAGCTGGGCTGGTCTGGACTCTACCTCAAGGAGAGACTCAAGGGCCGTCAAGGTTACTTGAGACGTATCCTCTTCCACTGCCTGATGCTCTGTGCCCAGGGAAACCCTAGGCAGAGTAGGGCAAGAGAGTCACTAGCAAAGAGCAGGACATCACAAGAACTGGGAATACTCAAGAATGGGGAGAGCAGCAGCAGATCATTAATAGATAGGTTAGGCTATACCAGTAAAATAGTTTTATTTAATTTTAAAATAGCCATTGATGTGAAAATTTCCCAAAGCTGGGAGTAACAGTCTAGAGCCAGGGTTGGGAGGGAGTTAGGCCTCACCTAGAGCCCAACTTGAGGCCCCTGAGTCCCACCCTCTACTCCCTTCCAGAGGGAGGAAGGAAACAGCTGAAGAGAGCCCTGAGTCAACCCTCTCCCTCATCCCTGAGGGCCCACTGTGCCAGGCCCCCTGAAGGCAACAGCTTGTGCAAAGGATTTAGGGGAAGAGAGAAACAGGCGGAAAATACAGAGGTTAACAGAAAATAGAAATTAAAGGTTAATAATCCCAATGACCACCTCCCCTCCTCCCGCCAAAAAAAAAA